TGCTGGGAGTTGTAGTCCTCTATGGCCGTTACCATTCTGCATTTCTGTATAAAGTGTTGCTAAGAGGTGTAGTCCTCTATAGCCGTTAACATTCTGCATTTCTGTATAAAGTGTTGCTGGAAGTTGTAGTCCTCTATAGCTGGTGCCATTCTGCATTTCTGTATAAAATTTTGGTTGTGAGTGGATGTGAGGGGAGGGAGTGGGGGATTGTTTTGGGATATTTAAAGTGCATTTATTGTGCATTTATTTATTTCTATTATTATTACATTGTAATATATAATGAAATAATTATAGAAGTCACCATAATGCAGAATCGGCGGGAGCCCTAAGCTTATTTTCCTTCAGGTGGCTAGTAGTGCTCTCAGGTGATCACTGGGGCTCTCAGCATCTCTCAACAGTTGCTGTTGTTAATATTTATTCTTGTAACTTTATTCTGAATAAAACATTTAACAGTGTAATTTCATAATATAATTTAGAAGGGTGTATTTAGGGGTGGAGTTAAGGTTGGGCAGGCTAGGGGTTAGGTGGGGCAACTGGTGGCGAGTAACTCTGAAGGCTTGGCTAGTAGCTCAGGACTTGAAATTTTGAGCCCTGATATACTGTATATAATAACAAGATAATACTATTCCAGTGAACCAAAACTTCATACTCACATGTAAATCCCCACATCGTGCTCTATGTATATGTAACAAAGATGATTCCTGGTGAATTCTATCACCCCTTTAACACACACTTCTCACCTCAAAGTTTGGGCCTAATGACTATTTTAGGTCTCAGTAAGCTTGTTTCCCAACTTCAGGGGGAAAAAACTTGATGGTGTGTTTGTCTCCTATTCTATCCAGTGGTTATTATATAATCTCATAGAGGGAAATAAGGATAAAATACATGGTGCTCCCCATTTAAAACATTATTTATAAAAAAAACAAATATACAAAACACGTATGTGTAAATGTGTGCAGTGAACTGGTGCACTCAGCATAATATTTATTCTTAGAGAAGGAATGGACTGCAAAAATGAATCCATATGAAGTGTTCAACACTCTCGTATCTCTTCCTGTTCCACTCTCTGTAACGTCACTTGAACTCCGCCTTACTCATTATGTTGCATCGATTTCCTCAGGGGCACCGAAGAGGCTAGAGTTCACTAAGGATGAAGTTGGGTGATAAAAGAGAGCATATACAATCATCTGGGCACCTCGTAATCCTCTGGGACCTAGGCTGTTGCTTTGACTTCCTTGAGGTCCACCAGGCTCTGGCCATTGGCTTCTCTTCACAAAATTCTCCAGAATACCTACCTTTTGTCCCTCCACTCAGAGCTATATTTATCAAAAGATTGTTCTGGGCTGGTCTCATTGGCTGCATGGTATGAAAGGGCAACCCCAGAAGTCATCATGTACTATTTGTGTTTTTTCCTTTTTGTTTTTGCACTATCTATCCAGATTTGGATGCTTATGGGTAAATCCAGATCCAGAAGTGGAAAATAGGAAGCAGAATGGTATCATAAATATTGTGCACACATTATCTTTTTCTCTATAGAAAGGTTGGTGCTACTATATGCACTTTACAGGCCTACGGTACTTACATTTGTAAAGCAGACAGCATGCAACCTCTTCTGGAGTCTTCTGTTTATTATTTTACTAATAATTAGCATATAACATGGTCAAAAAAGAGTGAAGTCTATACAAATGAATGTAATCAAACTAGATGTGGTATGGTTTCTAAATAAACCATGTGCCTACACTTCCCCTATCACAATTGTTTCTTGAGTTCAGCAATCATTTCCTGAGTTCTGCTACCTCCACAGACTTTCTTTCTGCCATTGCCTATTCTGACTAATATACTTACTCTGTGGTGACTCCACCACGTTTCTGTTTACTTAGTCTCACTCTCTAACCAAAAGGTAAAAACTGTTGTGTAGCTTATGCATTTGCCTACCGGGTAATCTATACCCAGATCTGTTTCAGATGATTTCTAGATCCTTGTCATTGGGGGATGCATGACTGGAGCTGTGGTCCTGGCAGGGCCTCCAAAGAATGGAGACCATACTAAAAGTGATCCATCAGTCCTACAGGTTCTTGGTGGTTAAGCCCAGGACTATCTGTCCTCAAAATGTAAAAGTACATTTGTTATGGAAAGAACAATGCATACATTCATTTTCAGCATGGATCTAAATAAACAGAAGTTAGAAGTCCAGTAATGGGCATCATTAAAAGGGAAAAGAGGCTAACTGCTTTCCATCAGAAACTCAGAATCCTCTTTAAAATGCGATCCATGAATAACTGTTAGCTCATAAAAAGTTCAAACTAACCTCCATAAACTTTCTTCTTATTACAGCAACTGAAATTTGTTCAGGTTTAACAGTGTTTATTACATAATACGAGTACAAAATTTACACTTATCTTCTAAAGTAAAATTTTAGCTTGGTTTTAAATGTTTCGAGATAGCTATGTCAACAAACATACTCTGACATTTTAGAAATTAATCACTGGCCTGACAGATTAAACTGCTGTTCTTGTTCCCTCTACATTCAGAGACATTTACTTTTCTTGTCAGGGGAAATGCTGAGCTGTTGTACAAGTGAGTATCCTATAATCCAAAAATATGTAGCAGAGCAGATACAGAAAAGATTTCTGAAGTCTCGTTCTGTGCGTTATATGAATTAAGGTAGGTGGGCTTATTCTGTATGGAAAAGTACAATATGCAAAGTAAAATAACCCACAGCAACCAGGATGTTTTGATGCATTTTACTGTTCTGATTTCAGCTAATGGAAGTTTGGTTTCTGAGGGTGTACAGTATTTTCACTGTAATTGCTGCATTACTGAATTAGCTCAAATTAGTTTAATGTAATGCAATGCATTTTGACCAGTATATATGTAGGAGTACTCAAGGTCAGGCCAATGCATGACTGCATAGTCATTACTATGTGCTGTTGTACAGCATGACTATAATTGCATTATAAAGTATGTTAGTTAACATTCTTGAAAATGTTATTAAGCATGTAAAATGTATGTTCCATATAAATCATACAGCTATTCATGTACCTTCATATACAGGAGCATATTCACGTTGTAGCCATAAACAGCAGTTTCTGTTTTTCTGATATTGCAGGGTATGTAGTCATTCTCTGCTCTGGCACCGTGCTCTGTTGTGACCGTACTGGCAAAAAAGTTGAAGACATGTACTTATTTTCTACTTGACGAAGATAGCATATAATGCATTAACAAGCATAAATCACACCAACATAGTTTTAGGTGAGGCTGAGCTGTGAACCCACAGGCTGGATGTGACCCTTTGCTTGCATTTAACCGGCCCTTGGGGTCCTATTCCTTTTACTGAAAGCTATGGACACCGGCACTCCAACAGTAAATAGAATACGCACTTCAACAGTAAATAGAATATCTCTATTTAATGACGTACATGCATAAAAGTATAGTACACTTAGGGCGACGTTTCGGGGGAGCACAGGGGATTCTGTGTGACGATCCTGTCGCACTAAGTGTACTATACTTTTATGCATGTACGTCTTTAAATAGACATATTCTATTTACTGTTGGAGTGCCGGTGTCCATATCTTTCTGCATGATTGTGATGGTGGCCATCCGTTGACTACTGAGCACTTTGATGGACGAGCGGTTAGGAGTGCAATGGGTACATGGATTGTAACTTATTCCTTTTACTGACACCAACAATTGGACACAATTGCTCCCACTGACACTTATGGTAGGGCACTATTTCTCCCTCTGACACAAATGATAGGGTACAATTCCTTCCAATAACGCCAACAATTGGGCATAATATCTCCAAATTGTACCATTGATAGATAACTATTTCTCTCACTGATACCATTGATAGAGCACTATTTCTTCCACTGGCACCTGCAATGGGGCACAATTTCTACAAATGACACCATTGATAGGGCACTATCTCTCCCACTGAGACCACTGATAGGGCACTATCTACGTCTCCCACTGACACCTGCAATGGAGCACAATTTCTCCAAATTATACCACTGATAGGGCACTATTTTTTCTATTGATATCAGTGATGGGGCACTATTCCTTTTACTGACACCAACAATGGACACTATTCGTCCTCCTGATGACCACAGAAGCTTTTTTTTTTACTACAACTGACCACTGAGCCTGGGGCATTGTTTATTTCACTGACATTGGAACATTTTCTACTCCCACTGGTCACAGTCTGACCCCCCTATAATCTGAAGGACAGTGAACCAGCACTTTGTTTTGAAAGTTTGGGGACTCTCCAAGTATGTAGTCTTTAGGACCACATGAAAGAACGCACATCATGTTAGCAGAGTGTAAAGAATAAGGATGCATCTGTATAAGTGATCATAGCACAGTCACTACAGCGCACACGCAATTTGCATTAACTGCTTTAGCTCATGACTGTGTTTTACCCCTCGTATGTAACTTACCTGTACAAGGCCAAATGATCAAGAAAATAGCTTGAACAATTAATGGTAAAATACAGTTTTTTTACTTTGAATCTCAGTTTAAAGCATATGTAAACTCAATCACTAAAATCTCATATAAACTTTAACATGTTAATGTACTTTAAAAAGTAATTTTCAATATTTTGAGATCTGCATCTTTTATTGAAAAAATATTAACATTTAATAAATAGGGTGAGCGCATTTTATTACTGTTGTGCTCCTGCCTTGTCACCCTGTCGTGCAGGCTTACAATTGGAGATTACAATTGGTTGTTTTGACACAAATTATGCAGGCACGGTCTGTTGTTGTCACCATCAGGAAACTCGGCCTGAGGAATGCCATGCAGCCTTTGGTGAAGAGCATGCATATAGACAAGAGTTGGCTGCTATGAGACTCCAGGAAATCAGCAGCACTAAGATTAGTACTTCTTTTTAAATAGCATGTGCTTATGATACACAGTACTTTAGCAAACTAAATATCATTCAGTTAGGGTTTACATCTACTTTGAACTCAGCAAGTGTTTAGAGAATAAAAGTAATTTAGCAATCCTGTGGCTACCTTTGTTGCTTCTTTTTTTTAACTGTGTCCTCTCATTATCAGAACCCAGAAGAATATTTGGAGATTGCATTACAATGAAGAGACCCCTTATACTGCTGTTTGCTGTGACTCTGGCTGGAGTTAGTGTAACCAGCGCAGCTCCAAGGCTCTGGGGAGACACTATTACTGAATTTGCTGTGGATCTGCACCAGGCAATACGTTCAGTTGACACAGAAGAGAACATTATTTTTTCCCCACTTGGTGCTACTTTGATTCTAGGAATGATAAAACTGGGAGCGAGAGGAGCAACATCTCAACAAATAAAAGAAGTTCTAAAACTGCAGGGAAATCAAGAAAGTGAGTCTACATTTTATTAATCCCACATCCACACTTTCTGCATGCCGTTTGCTAGATACAAGAAGGCTAATCAATGCTTCTTTGTACTGACAGCAAATAGGGTCAGTCCTCTCTAAAGCCAGGATTATTCATGTATTGGTGGGCTATTTGTGAGCACAGAGCTCAGGAGAAATGAGAAAGATGGGTTTGTAACTGCAACCTATTTGTTTTGTAATCATCTTTGGACAGGATATCAATCATAGTTGAATACATTCAAAAATTGGATTTAGTAATGGTCTTTGTGGGACTGACTGTACTATCTGTTCACAGCCTTGTCTGTCTATGATGTCTGACTGACTTCCTACATTGAAACAAATAGTATATTTGCCTTTGAATTCCAAACACATTGCTACTGGAAACAGTACAAACCAACCTAATCATACGTGATTGGCATTAAAGAGGAACAGAATCCTGGAATCTATACAACCCCCCCCAAAAGAAAAAAAAAAAACTATAGAGAGAAAAGGACTAGTCACCAACATTGCCCATGGTCTCTCTGCAGATGATCTTTTTCCCATTTCTGTCTTACTATCATGAGTCAGCCACCTTGGTAGAGGCAGGGCTGTGCTTCCTCAAGTCAAAGTCTCCAGCAAGGGAAACAGTGAGCGTCACAGAAAGGACATAACTAACAGGGTTATTAACAAAAGGGTGAAGAGTTTGGAGAAGGCAGGAGAAGTGAACAATCTAAGACAACATAGCTGAACTGGAAAGTCAGCTGAATTGGAGAATTTTTCCAAATCAGCTATTTTGGCCTAGATTGTTCACTTCTCCTGCCTTCTCCAAACCCTTCACCCTGTTGTGAATAACCCTGTGAATCTTACTCATTATCTCCTGAGAACAGCAACGGAGACAGCAGTGCTTTAGCTCTCATAGTGCAGATATACAGTCATGAAGCTGTAGAAACATGAGTGCTTATGCACCCTCACAAGCCAGATAGTGCAATGCTATTTATTAGAATGGATTCCATGCAAAACATACATTTTTAGGGTACTACTTTGGCACAATTAACGTGCAACTGAAGCCCAAACATTTTTTAGTTTTGGAAAGAGTGGAGAGGGATTAGAGCACCTGTCAGGTTTTTATTGCTGCTTGTGTCCCCATTAGGGAGAATCACCATCTCTGTTTGTGACCTTTATCAATGAAAGCAAAAGTAATAGAAAGCTCCAAATTGTGGGTTATGATCAAAACAGGTATATAATGAGGACCCTAGTTTCAATAGGGGCACTAGTTCTGGTGACCCTGCTGACCACCAGGTATTTCCTTCACGTTGCAGGGATTTGCTCTTGCTTTCTGTTGTGGCGATTGGATGTAAAAGGAAATCTCTCCAATGGGACACAGATGCCAAAAAAAGCTAACCCTCCCTTATTTAAAATTGAACAAAAAGTTTGGCTTCAGTTCTACTTTACCATTTATAAAAATGTTCCCTATAATGTGGCAAATCTTCCATTTTTTAGGTCCAGCTGCACATTAATTATCCACAAATAAAGAATGTCTTATGCTCTAGTTGCCAAGTAATGTCAGTATCCCGCAGGTAACTCTGCCTTTGCCGTATGTGTTTGTAAGAATTCAAAGGGTAAACCTAAACCATACTCAACACAGGTAGAGCTAATTGGTGGCTTGAACGGTTGGAGGGGGGTGTCCTCATCCAAACTGGGTTAAAAAATACTAAAATTTGTTGATCTGGAAAGTCTATAAAATTTTGTATCATGAAATTGGTACTGTTTATAAGAAAAAAGCCTATCATTACTGCATTGAAAGCCATGTGTAAAATATCTCATGTTTAAGGGATAATGATTTCACTGCTGTGTATAGAGAGGGTGTGTAGACTACTGCAAACAAGGGGTTTCTGCTCAGTCTACAGTAATGAATAGGGTCATAAGAAGACATTGGCAGTAAATAAAAGTATAATTTTAATACAGGAAAACACCTGTGGTTGTCTTAACAAGCCATTTAATTTTGTTTCATTTTTGAGCACTGATCCATTCTTTATCTTTTAAAGATTTTGTTAGTGAAATATTTTGAGCCATGTGTCAATAATTAGCCTTTGAAGATGTGGAACTACTTATATAATACTACTTACAGTACATCATTATACAGTATATTATATTATTTATATAATAAAGGTACCTCATGCTTTGATTCACAATATATTAATCACAAGGATATACTATATTGAAAATACCTTCAACTTTTTGTTTTCTTTTTTCTTCTTAGTTTAGTATATGTTGCAAATGCCTTTTTACATGCAACTCTGTTGAGTGTATTTCCCTTGTCTGGCTGAAAAGCTTCAAGTGTATATAAACCTAATATATAAACCTAAAAACAAAAATGTTATGTATTGCAGTTTCCCAATTCTTAAATGTGATGGCTGCATTAGTTTTTTTTTCTCAGGCCTTTTCCCTATTTTTACACCTGGTGATCTGGCCAGTAACACACTTCCTATCTTAGGGTGGCTCCACTCTATAGAGGAGGAACCAAGCCACCTTTGGACAGCAGCATTGTCACCCTTTGGAGAGGGTATTGTTAGATGGATTAGCAGATTTAGTTGGACTTGACTAATAGATTAAATCTGAACTCCAACTAACACTTTTTAAGCAATTGCAGCAACTGGTTTTTTTTTCCCCTTAAGGGATACAGTTTTTACATAAATAAATAAAAGCTGACCACTGTAAGCACCCTGTCAGTGTTAAATGGTTTTTCTCAACCTCTGTTGCTGGATAGTTTAGTCTGTTAAAATAAGTTGGAAAATAGCAGAGGGAGGATCACCAGGTGAAAATAATGGAAAGAAGCCTAAGAAAAAACCCAATGCAGTCACCACATCTAAGAATTGGTAAGCTGCAACAAAATAAATGTTTGCCTTTGGGTTTAGATACGCTGTCATCGTATTAAAAAAAGAAGACATCAGCTGTACTTGTTTTTTCGGTCTTGTGGGATTTATTTAAGCTTGCAGGATTCATCAGCTATACTTTTACAATAATTTCTCACATTTAGTATGTTTTCGGGAGAAAAGTTCTGTAAAAAATACTGTTAATAATATGACCACAAGGGAATGTCAGAAGGCCTTGTAAGAGATGTTGGTCTTTTAGTCTTTTATATGGCATTCATATATTCAGAGCCTCCTGTCATAAAGCCATTGTCTAGGAAATGTATAAGAAAGAATAGCAAATACTTCTGCAGATGTGACAGATTGCTGAAATAGGTCAATCTATTCATTATAGGTCACAGTGTTTGTCACATTAAATCACAAAATCAATCCAAATTTGATATGATTTGAGGGGCCCATCATGAGCCATAAATGTATTGGCTATATGTGGTGCTCTTGTTCCTAGTGGGAATATTTATAAAGCTGCCATATAAATGTTTAACCACTTCAGTACTAGCCTGCATATACTGCTTCATTACCAGACCATTTTTCAATGCTTTGATAGTTTGACTGACAATGATCTGTCACACAACATTTTAGCAAATTAAATTATATTATATAATGGAAAAATTACCAAAAGTTCTGGGGAAAAAAAGCCAAATGTACTGACTGCCTATTTAATTTTTTGAGACCCTAAAATGCCAGAACAGTACACCACCTATGGTGGTGGTGGGTGGTTAGTGTCCTTTAAATGTTGGTGGTCAGTGGTGTGTGCCCTATAACTGTTGGTGGTCAATGGAGAGTTTTCTTATAACTGTTGGTGGCCAATGGAGAGTTTCCTATAACTGTTGGTGGTCAGTGGTGTTTTTCCCCCATAACATGGGTGGTCATTGTGTCCCCCTTATGGTCATTATGCCCCTTTACTGCTCTGTGTGTCCTCTTCCTGCTCATTGTGCCTTCTTTGTGGTAAGTAAGCACCCATTTTTCTGGTGGTCAGTGGGATTTACAGTGGAGAAGCTGTCAGAGGCAGGGGTGGAGGGGGGAGGGTCTTGTTTAAATTGGTTGGCAATCTGATTGACACCTTGCATTTTGCCTTTAATCTGTGCTGCCTGATAAAAGTGTGATCACAGGCATTATACATGTACCTGGAGTAACTTTTTTTTTCCATTCATATTAAGGTGATCAAAAAACACAGAAACTGTTGATTATGACTTTTTATACATAAGGCCTTTGTGTGTAATGGTGACCTCCGCCACAGAATTAGTCCAAGCTCTTCAACACAATCCATCCACTTGGATACAGAATACTTGGCTCATGGGCTCCTCATTACTTTTCATATTTAAACCATTTGGCCAGTAAATAAACTCTTTAGCAGCAGAACATTTTGTAACTTATGGACTGGGTCATGTTATGGACAGTCTCTTATTCTCCATGGTGGATGCAGTTGTACAGATGTTTTGCTGAGGCATCAAAATTAAATCTAAACTCCAGGCAAACAGCTAACTATGCCAATAAAATATATACCATATGAAGAACTGACTACCTGCCAAAAGGTTTGTGTTCCTGTTAATTCAGCTCCCGAATGCAGCAGCATGGTCCTGTCTGGTAGGGCAGAAGACATGATCTTTCTCTGCTGCAGTAAAGTAACACTTACAGGTTTGGTTACCTCACCTCACAACTACCACCAGTGGCGTAACAACCGGGGGACAGCCGGTGCGATGGTCCCGGGCGTAAAGCTGAAGGGGGGGCGCTGACCGCTGGCCGAAAATAGCACTTTTGGCTAAATGCCGAAAGTTCCATTTTCCTACCGTTTTGTTGGCACAGCCATGATTTCTTTCCTCCCCACTGGGCGTGCTCTTTGTCCCAGCAGGGAGGAGAGAAAGTGACAGCCGGCCAAGCGCTGCGGGAGGAGACCACCGTGAGTGGCCGGTGTCTCTCCTCCCACACCGCTCAGCCGCCTATCACAGTCCCGCAGAGCGGTGTGGGGGCGGAGACAGCCCACGCTGTCACAGGAGGCTGGGCTCTTCTCCCTGCACCACTCGCTCAGTCTCCTGTGACATCGTGTCAGAGAGGAAAGCAAGAGCAAACACTCAGCGATCAGTGATCGCTGAGTGTTTGTAGATAATTGAGGATATGGTATGGTTACTGTATCCTCAATTATGAATGAATGGGAGTGATCTACATCACATCTACATCACTTCCTGTTCATTCATGATTGTGGTTATAGTAAACATACTATGTTATCAATGAACAGGAACACTCATAAAGGATTCCTGTTCATTGATAACAGGGGAGACAGAAAAAGACTCTGGGGTCTATTCAGGAAGCTGCTGAAGGATCTGGCCGTAGCTTCGGCCGATCCTTCGGCTAGCTTCGGCCCCAGGACCCCTTCGGTTCAGTAGAACCGAAGGGGTACTGCCGCCCCTCTGCGCCCAGCCGCCCCGAGGCCGGGCCTCGGTGGCCTTGTGGGGAATCCGGGCCTGCCTGGGAAGCTCTGGCTGGAAAGGAGGTGGCAGGCACACTGTAAACATTGTGCATCAGAGCGGCCATGCTCCACATGACCCAAGGAGATGCTTTATTAAAGGGGTGGCCTTGGCTATAGTACAAGAAGTGAAGAGAATTCCCCCTAATAAGGGACAGATAGCAAAAAGGCTAGACAGAGGGTATAACCATCCCTTACTCTATCCAAATCTAAAAATGCTTCAGTTCTACTTTCAATCAATGGTAAATGTGTTTCTTTGATTTCACTGCACAGTGTTTAAGTTAAAGTAGAATCTACAAGGTAGCTGTTCATCTAACATAGTATGGACAAAGATCAAACACATAGCTTTCAAACCATGTATTGCCAGCCGCTTTATGACTTCTGTACGGATAGATTTCCTTTTAGAAGGGCTCTGATATGGGCACTTTTTCTCACGGATTAATAAATGAACTCCTTCCTCTCTTTGCAGTTCAACAGAAATACTTGTCATTGTTCTCAATTGTGGTGCGACTCCCATAGGAGAGAAAGAGAGCAAGCTAATTGTATCTTTGCTACAAACATTATTTTGTACCACCATATTTCTTACACAGCCAATTACATTTAATACAAAACAATCCTCAACTGCATTGTCACATTCTGTAACTGGAGCAGCATTTATAGAGTCGGCTATACTGTGTGATGCCGAGGTAAAGGGAAGAGAACCCATTGTCAATGATATGCTTTCATTCGGAAAGTTTCCTCTACTTTGTATAGCCTTATTTTCATCATTAAAATTTACTAATACAAAAATCTCTGTCTTTAGGTGAAGAGTTTTCTGGGCTCCGAAAGCTGGTTTCTGTCATTTCCGAAGAAAATAAAGAATTTGCATTTAATCTCGCAAATGCCCTCTACCTTCAAGAAGGCTTCCACGTGAAGGAGCAGTATCTCCATAGCAACAGGGATTTTTTCAAGAGTGAAATAAAGCTGGTGAATTTCCAAGATTTGAAAGCATCTGCCAAAATAATAAGTGCATTTGTAGAAAGACAAACAAATGGTAATCTATATATTCTGTGGAGATAAATAAATAGTAGTGTTTTGTTGTAGGTAGGGATATTGCTTTATTTGATATAAAATAGACTTGCAAAGATGCCTGTGCTTGAAGCAAAGCAGATTTTAGCATAGTAATACATCGCTGTTTGAGCTTAATACAATGCCACTAGCATAATGCCAATCAAAACTGGGAAAAAAGTAAGAAACTAGCCTATCAAATACTTTTCAACTGTTCCTAGCACAGCAGTTGTTGTTGCTGTTTTAGGCCTAACATAGGAGTCCATTGGTTCAAGTAAAAAACTGCATTTTAAACTTTTTTGTATTATAATATTTTTCTTGCAAACTGCATTAAATCTCCAGGTGAAAAAAGCTACCCTTGCAGTGGCGCTAATGATAATGTCTAAGGGTATGGTGTAAAGGTCTTTTACTTACCTGATCCCCACTCCCCTGGTGGCCAGGGCTCACCTCTCTCCCCTCCACTCTGGCTTGTGGACTGTCTCTCAGCTATGGATTGAGCACTGGCCTTGTTATCCTGTTTTTTTTTTTTGGGGGGGGGGGGGGGGGTTTTGGGGGAGGGGGGTGGAGACATGAGGAGGGGTGGAGACATGTGAAGGAGGTGGAGACATGTGGAGGGGGTGGAGACATGAGGAGGGGTGGAGACATGATGAAGGGGTGGAGACATGTGGAGGGGG